AGCAGACCTGAAATAAGTAAAAATATCAAGCAACACTTGAAAACAATCTTTTATGTTGCATTATATTATCAGAAATATCACACATTATGCTTTTGAGAAGCAAGTTTAGCTAACATATCTAAATTCATGCAGGCCTACAGTGGCCACACCTCTGCACAGTGGAAGACAAAATACCTCAATTGTATCTGCTTGCGTTTTTGAAGTTCTTGGTTTCGGAGTTCTTCCAAGCGCCTCAATTCTTCCTGACGACGCATGAGATCTAGCAGGATTAAAAGTGTATTTAAATATAAAAGCTGCCAATCAACCATGTGGCAACACAAAAATTGTTATTACTATCAGATTACAGTTCTAACATTCAAGTTTTTAAACCAAATTTTCAATGCATTTAACTCATCTCTTTCCATAAAGCTAAGTCTAGTATTTGAAAAAAATACCTGATTTGTGGCTTACAAACATAGAAAGGTACAAAATGGGCAACGCCTCCAAAGCAGGTTATGGAAACAGTAGTTTCAAGCTCTCAAAGCAAAGGAAAAAAACTCTCAATCCCTTAAATCATATCCTGGTTTTACATCTAGGACATGGCATCAATTTTCTTACAATGCTGTACACTGCTAAAGTCACACTACTAAGAAAACCACTACAATATTCATGGACTTTTATGCTCTCCATTACCTGCTGCAGACCTCTACATGGCACACATCAGTGAAAGAGAAGCCATATGAACTTCAGGTGCATGAAGTCAGAACCTCCATGAAGATCTGTCATGACTCTGCTTACTGCAACTTGCAAATGACTATTCTTTTAACCTCACAAAAAAGGTACAGCCATAGCCTCCTATGAAGCACTTAAAATGCCCTTAAAAAGCAGGGCATAACTAACAGTAATTACTTTTGCTGACCAGTCACATTATTGATTTCTGCCTAGAAATTTATGCTTTCTTCAATGAATAATATTTGTTAAAAAGTAGGTTTTTTTATTGTTTAAATACATGGGATATTGGCAACTTGATACTATTTATAGAAACCACAAGCAACATTTTCCCATACCATTCATTGCATGCCTTTTATGCTTTAGTTCAACAGTTCTGCACATTTTATCTATGCATTTCTCTACTATACTAATTAAAATATCTTTTTAGTTATGCAAATCAGTTTCCTCAAACTTGTACACAACACTATCCACTGTGGGCTAAAATGTTTACTTTTCAGTTCTTTATTCTTCCAAATTTATACAGCATTGCCTATTTCTTGTGCACACAGGACCAAGATTTCCTACTTTCTCTCTACCACTATCATTTTCTGTCCTTTGCTATTAAGGTGTAGCTCTCTACTTTTCTCACTGTTCTCCTAATTTTTCTCCATAGCATAGTTTATTGCCTTTCTGGAAATTGATAGCATGTTAAAAAATACAATATAGCAAATTATGATTCAGTATCATTTGACAACTGCCGTATCTTGGCAGAAAGCCTTACTAAGCCAGAAGAAAACACAGAAATAGAGGTTCAGACTCTATACAAGAGACATTAATATTAAAAGACCTGTAATGATGGTAATTCTTGATTGACAGGCCCTTTCTCTGAACAGAAAAAATCTGCACTAAAGCACTTTTTTTTTAAAGAAAACAAATAGAAAGCACTATTATTAGCCTCTGCACTTTCTTGTGCTTGTAAAAGGGCAAGGGCTTTGTTTTACCTTCAACCTCCTACATTGCAGACAGCAGAAGGTAACAGTATTCCCTCACCTCAGAAGTTAATCATACAAGCTAGAATACCAACTCCACAAAGACTTTAAAGCAGTTTTAGCTGTTGATTTTTCATGTTCTAAAGATGAAAAATAAATGCCAGGTTTCCATATAATTGATACAAAATTAAGCTTCTGTTTAAATTCAGTCATGTTTTCCAGTATTTTCATAATATATTTAACCATCATTATGAGAGAATATTTACAAATGTTTGATGCATACCACCAGTACATACATCAGAAATACCATGCAATTTACTTACACATGGAAATATGTATTCTGCTTTACTGATTACTTCTGATTCAGTCTGTCAAAACATGACACTTCAAAGTGAAAAATTGCACATACCAAAAGAATTAAATCTACCTTCAGAATTAATATCCCAGCACAAAAAACTGAGTACTCAAACCAACATGTTCTGGAGTTCCAGTCCTACTAGCTCTCAGGTTTTAACACAGCCTTCACTTGCTAGAGTATACGGACCAGTAAGCTCATCCTTCATCCTGTCTTCTTTTTAACTACTACACAACTAAAACATGACATTTTACATTTTATTTCGTATTTCATAATGACTTCAATACATCTTTGACTTCATGCACCAGGGATACAAAAGTATTAATTCTAGGTTCTGGTTCCTTAGAAACTTCATTGCATCTTTCTACACAATCCTGTGATACAATTAATATAATCAATATTCTTGGCATGGCATGAACTTAGACCCACACTGTTCAGAAAAACAAGAGGAAGCTAATTTGAAAAGAAGTACAAGTGAAAATACCACCTTATTTTCATGCATGCTGAAGAATTGAGAAGACTAAAACAGAAGGAATACTTACTAATCTCTAGAGCTCTGAAAATCAAGTGTTGGCAAGTAACTAAGAAGAAATCAGTCTTAAGAAAATTCTGAGTTATTTGATACTAAAGAGGTACTGTGCTAACCAAACTGTGAGGGGGAAAAGACCGCCTCATATGCTAAAATAAACATATTTTCTCACTAGAATAGTAGTGCCACATGCTTTCATGTTTTAGTGGCTCTCTAATGGCAGGAATAATTCTCTCTTTTTTCATATAAAGCTGACATTAAACAAATATTCAAAAAGCAGAATATCTTTTCCTTCATGTTGTCCTTAAAAAAACCTCTACTATCCAAAAACACATCAAACTTGATGTTTTCCATTAAGTGCTTTTCTATCTTAATGAAGAGGCCACTGTAATCTTGTCTCAGTTTAACACATAATTAAGACATGAATTTAAGAGAAAGTAATCTCTCACTTTGCCCTCAAGTACAGGCAACACGTGAAAAAATTCAAACAAAATTAAAGAGCATGAGTTCTGGAACTACACAACTAGCATTGTTAAATATTAACAGTATCAACAGTAGATTTAGTCAACCTGTAACTTAAGCACTGAACCATCTTTACAAATCTCAGTCACGCATACACACAAAATTACAATTTGTGTCTAACTGCTGAGGGAGGGCTGTCAGCAGCATTCTTGGATCATATTAACATGCACATTCCTCACCTCTAATATACACCTGTGCTTACAAGGAAGCATAATGCTTCAACTGTTTTTCTTGGAAAATTAACCAAGAAACAGTTGTCATTTCAGGTGCTGCAGCATCTATTTGGCATTTAAAAGCAGTTTTCTATGCTATTACACTCTGTATAAGATCTTATGCTTTTCATGTTATTATATAGGTATGCTTTTATGTTATTATATTTTGCATAAGACCTTGTGCTCTGTACAAGACCTTACAAAAACAGCATGGCTTCACACTGGGAGTACATGTGCCTATTCAGGAAAAACAGGCTAAGTAAACTTTTTACTAAAGATAAATTTAGGAAGTGAAGAAAACAGACTTAGACAATCACCTCTTTACCATATTCTTAATTAATTTCCGCAAATCATCAAGAAATATGTGCACAGAGAAGTCGTCCTTCCTTTTTCTCAGTTAAATGCACTTAATTAAATGGTGATCAGAAAAATGCCCAAGTATACAGCTCAATATGCTATACAGTAAAAAAAAAAAAAAAAAAAAAAAAAATCTGTCACACAACAATTCAATACTGGTAGATGATCTGGTTTTACCTTGCCTCATCAGCATTAGCTGATGCTCGTGTCTAGCTGCTTCCATTTCTGCCTCAAGTTTCTCTTTGGCTTCTCTAATGTTCCTATCAACCTGTTCACGCTGCTGCTTTTCCATCTCATCAAGAGCTTTCCACCGTGAAGCATACTCAAACTCAAATGTGCCAGGCTGAGCAAAGCGTGGAGGCTGTTCTCTTTCCCTAATAAAAATTTTGCAGTAAAAATGTACAGAAGGACATATTTAGATCAACAGCTGTAACAGCCAGAGAACATACACACTATCACTTGAAATGTAGATATGGCTTTTTATCAACCTGTCAGATGACTACATACTAAACCAGACAAAACTTAACTCAGACATTACGATAAATAAAATTTTCCAAAAACTGCCCAAATAAATATTCAATTTAATTTTAAGATAAAAATTTGTATTGACATCAATACAAAATACTAATCTGCAACACTATATTAACAGTGTTCAGCCTTCTAAATCAAGCAGCCAATTCACTAAACCAGTTATTTAAGTATGTGTCAATGCCTACTAGACAGCCCAGAATATTAGCCATAATCTGTAACCATTAAATGAGCCCACATTTCCCATTCTAACACTAATATTGTACCTAACAGTGACAAATTGTTAAGAAGTAGTATTCTACAGTCTTATCAAAATAAACATTTTAGATTCAAGCAACATGGATGGCAAATTACAATATTAAAAATTAGTATTTTCAGATTAGGGGACTTCTATCTCATGATTCACTTTCTCATGTCATGCACAAAGTTTTACCTCCACAGTGGAAGCTGCAAAGACTTACACACCAGGGAGGCTGCAAACAGTTAAGGGGCTATTCAGAGAACATAAAGATCTGTGGGTATTCAAAATCTCTACAGGATTAGACCACACCCCTAATCCATAAATTACTATTGTTGGCTGGCAACAAGCTCCTACTGACTGTAGTGTAGGCCAAGAATCTCTCTATTACACTAAAGGCACAGACTCCTAGACTAACAAGCCAAGTCTGAATTTTACCATGATTAGGAAATTTGGGAAGGTCCTATTTAATCCTTTGGCACAAAACAGCACAACATACAAAAAGCACTACTTCCTGCTACACAAACTCAAAAATCAGTGTATATTTACAAAGCTAACTAAGTACATAAGTAATGTTTTATAAAAAAAGGCTAATCACAACTTACTTGTGGTACTGTTGTGTTTTTTGCATTAGTTTCTCAGGGAGTCCATCTTCATCATCAAATTGCTCCATTGGTTCTACAACAACAGGTCGAGGTGTTCTGGAAAACATTTTCAATTTAATAACTGAATCATTAAAGAAGCAGTTGCAACTTACTTTAGCATTTTGAAGAAACACTCCAGAAAGTTAACATGTAATTCCTGTGTCTTGTCTTAAATCACAGAATTCCAATGAATCCCAATCTTAAGAATTACCTTAATAATTGTTTTTATGACCAAATCCAGCTATTCTGCCTAGAAATCACAACTTACTTGACACAGTTCTGCTTGCTATTTTAAAATACCAAAACCATCTACCAATAATTACAAAATACAAAGGAAGGACCTACCTTTCTGTTTTTATCAGAGGCACCACAGAGGCCATGATTGTGCTGGGAAAGCAACAAAGCCAAAGCAGAGCAGCACAACCTATTCATATTTCTACTGACTTCCTACAACTTAGTTCTTCTGCAAGTTACTCTACAACTGAAAACAGCTTGATAATTTGGTATTAATATTACAGCAATAATTAGAAAAACATTTCTGTTTAAGTTATTTAAAATCCATTATTTGAACAACCACATAGTCACAAATCAAAATCCTAACTGAAAAGCTGAAAACAGCTTCCTTGATATGTAGTAACCAGAGGCAAGTATGAGCCAAAGAGAGCAGTGTAAAAACTCTAAATTGCATAAAAAGCTCTTTGCATCAGTCTTGGGAGCAGAGTTTACAAAACACAGAGTATTTTCTGTGCATTATTTTCAAAATACCAGCACTCTTTTATTGTGTTCCATGCCTTTATTTCACTTTGTAGACCTTCCCCTACTGCCCCAGTCTCTCATGAGAAAAAAAAACCAACCAAACCAATGACCCCCAAATATATTTTACTCTGTGCACCAAGTTCACACTGAAGTCCAGAATCAAAGGCCACAACTCAGCAACTGTTTTTTCTGATGCCATCTGCATTTCAATTGCTGACAGTTCTGCTATTTAAATGCAACTGAACCGTGGTGCCAACAAGTTATGATTTAAAGAACAATGCTAAAACCCTAATTTTGAATGTCTAGTTTTGATACATTTACACAAGACCTGGAAAATGTTCTGATTAGGCAAAGAGTTTTCAGTTAAAAAGAAAAACTTAAGACTCTGAAGCAGAACATCAAAGTAGATGGCAGCAGATTCATACTAATTATCTATGCATTAGGAAACACGTCACCTAAGCAAGTAAGTGCTCAGGTGCTTTTTATTCACTCAGGCCACGGTTACATGGTCATTTCAATACAAGTGATCTATCTAGCTGGCAAAACAAGAATACCCTCCCCTCATATCCCAGCTTCTTTTTCCCTGCCACATCTCTCATGTCAAGAACAGCACTAATGTAACACTGAACTACATTACTTCCCTTGTTTGGCTCACCGGGCTTCCATTCCGTTACTAATGCCAAGAAAACCCTGGGAATTAGAACAAGTTGCTGGCACCTCCCAGAAACAGTAAAGATGTAGTCAGGCACTTCAATAGCACACAGGATTTGGAGTTCCAGACCCCTTACTCACCTGCCAACTTCCTGGCAGCATTTTCTCCCGCCTTATTCTCTGCTGGGCCTGACATTAGCAAGCACCTTCCTGAGCTTGAACAGATTGCAATGGCCCCCCATGGAAATGAAGGCTTTTCTGTTCGTTTTAGCAAGCACAAGTGGCTCATGGAAGTGTCATGAAGTTCAAGAATAGCACAGCTAGGGCAGGAAAAGAACTGCAAAACTACAGCCTTATTTTCCCAATGAGAATCACAGAAATAAAAATAAATCATAAATATGTATGATTTCACACCTTTTTTAAGAAAGCATTTTAAAATGTCACTTGTGACTGTGTCAAGTACAGCAATTAGCAACTCTCTTTGGCAAGTACAGAAATAGGAGATGCTTGCTATTTGCAAGCTTGCTTGTCCTTGAAATACATTGTTTTCGAAACATCAAGCATATAAACCTCTTCAGAATCTCAGTCTTCAGTTTAAAACAGTGAGACAATCCTGGCCTTACAAGCCACAAATAATTTTTGGGATATGAACACTTTCTTTAGTCTACAGAAATATCTGCAATGTGACACACTGATTTGTTAAGAAACAAAGAATATTATTTTGTCACTTTGTTACTGGGATCAGGAAGAGTGCAATCAATGAAAATCTCAACAGAAAATGCCTTATTATACTGCATATGAACAAGAAAAAAATCCAGAATTTTGCTCTCAGACTCTCATATGGTAATAAGAAATCTTATAAACAGTAAGCAGAGAAAGAAGGTTTCTTAAAAAAATCGAGTATTTGTGGTATTCATGCAAAACACTTAATTTTCTAACCTCATGGCTTTCAGAATTTGAAAACAAAATAAGAACTAGGGAATACCATGTGTTGTGGCGCGGCAACCATGAATGCAATTTTTGCTCACATCGGGAAGATATACTCATAAAATCAAACAAAAATCTGTGAACTTACGTTGTAAGCAAGAATGCCCCATCACTGCATCTTTCTAGAGCTTTCCGTGCTGGAGGTTTTGCTGCAAACTCTACAAAACCTTTCCCTGTAGCTCTGCCGCGATCATCAACTACAACAACCGCTCTTTCCACGGGCCCGAATTGCGAGAATGCTTGTTCCAGCAGCTCATTGGAAACCACAGGCGACAGATTCTTTACAGTTAAGGCAGCTCCATGGGTAGCAAATCGAATTCGAAGTGGTCTGCTCTTCAAAATAGTACCATCAAGTTCTGCCTTTGCTATTTCAGCCAGGGTCCTAGATTCCTTTATAAAAATATAAAATATTTTATATCTTTTATTTTCGAAGACATTAAGTATCACTTTTGTGTGCCCGCCCCGAAAAGCAGCAAAGTTATTTTCCTTCACTTGAGTATACTGGCACCAGGATCATTCAACTTGTTTCCCCCTCAGTCAAAAAACCAAACCAAACCAACAACAACAAAAAAAAACCAAGAAGCAAACCAACAAGGTCCCTGTCCTCTGATTGAAAACAAAAAAATATGCATTAATTACCCCCTATGGTTTATTTATTCTAAAACCTACACAGGAGTAAATTTTTTGTTGCACATTAGACAATTTAACAAATTCTCATTATGATGCTGCTGCTCTATAAAGGTTTTGAGTAAAGTTGGAAAGTTGTTGCTTCTCACGTTTACCTGCTTAAATGTTTATATTCTGCATGGCTACCTCCCAGCAGCAGGAAACAGTATTCAAACAATACCCTAAGGTATTTTGAGTTGGGTTTTTGTTTTGCTTTTAAATAAGTCAAAATATCGCACTTGCTCTCAATGGATGTCCAATTCAACATTCATCAAGAAATTATGAAATTACCTGCTTTGCTCATCTATTCATTCGTCTCACATTAATGGGCTTTCTGCACCCACATCCATGAGACAGTGTAAATCAACCTTTTTTCTCACTTCAAAAATATTCACCATGTTTGATAACTGCAATCCCTGACATTTAAGGAAATTCTTTATATATTTCTTCACAGTTCAACTGGGTAGGCAAGCTGTTAAAATATATATATATATATATATATATAGCTATTCCCTAAACATAATAAAAAAGAGAAGTTCACATAAAAGCTCTGATTTCTATTACAGACAAAAATGAGTAACGACATGTAAGTATATCTCACTTCCTCCATAAAATTGCTATTTCAGGACGGGGAATTCTCAGGGTAAAAGATGCGTGGCAGAATGCCACAAGTATTTTAAGACGACAACCGAAGAGAAAAAACCCTACCCAGTAAAATATATGGAAAAATCATTACTAAATACCGAAAGCACTCTAAATCTATTCCCAGAATGATAAAAATCTGTGTTTTAAGCAGAGCAATCGTGAAAACTAATCTTGCATACCATTTAAATACAGTATCATTAACTTTTCGAATTATTCGGTTTTTTCCATGCTTAAGTCGAGCATGTTTAATCAAATACTGTATTACCCCTAAAAAATCTAGTCTTATCTGGGCACAAGCAATTTAAACAACCCGCGGTCCGCAACCTTTTAAATTCCGTGATTTAGTTCCGCGTTCACGATGTGCGAGCAGCTATATTTCGAAACAATCCTGCCCATTCTTTAAAATTAACTATATTAAGTGCCATGGGACGAGACGGGGACCGAAACACCAGGGGCTGAGAGGACTACTCTGAATGCAGAGGTCCGGCTCGGATGTGTAGAGGCGAACACGGGAGGGGAAAGAGGGAAGAGGCGGGGGGACTGCGCTAGCAGGGAGGAGGAGAAGCAGATGGTGCCTTTTTTTACACCCGCCGAAATGGAGGGGAAGGCGGCGGGGGGCAAGGCACCGAAGCCTCCCGCTTTCCGAGACGCCCCAGGGTGACGGGGCAGCCCCAGGGCCCGCCCGATCCTCACCAGGCGGATGAAGCCGAAGCCGCGGTCCCGATTGATGAAGACCTCGCTGGGCTCCCCGTAGCGCTCGAAAAGGCGCTTGAAATCCTCCTCGGTGATATCAGTAGGCAGATTCCCCACGAATAGCCGGCAACGCTGCGTGTAGCTCTTCTCGCCAGGTTTGAGAAAGCTCTTGATATCGATGGTGAACCCAACCTCCTGCTCCTCATCTCCGCCACCTTCTTTGCTCGGCACCAGAGCCATGGCCGCCGCCGCCTCACTCTCCCCTTCTAGGCCGCGCAATCCTTTCAGGTTGCCGCCGCCGCCGCCCCCCACCATGCCGAGCGGCACCGCTGGGGAGCTGTTTTCGATCCGCACTTGCTTCAAGTTCCTATTCGCGGCCATATCCGCTCCTTCCTCGCGGGCTCTCCCTCGGGGGACGCGGAACCCTGCCCGGCAGCCGCCGCCTCCGACCCTCAGCCAATTCAAAATGGCGCCGCCGCCAAACCCCGGCGCGTCGTGCCGTCCCCGCGGGAAGCCCCGCCCCGGCCCCGCTCCCCCTCACGGCCGCGCCGCCGCCGCCGCTCCCCCTCAGCTCCGGCGCACCGCCTGCCCCGGGCCCGCGGAGACCCGTCTTTTCCCCGCTAGAGACAGACGTGCCGCTGCCCTGCCGCGCTGTGTTAGAGCAGTGGTCTCCTCAGCCCGTGCCCAGGCAGAGGGGCCCCTCGCTGGGGTCTCTCCCAGGATCCCGCCCAGGGGGAGTCCGGTCGCTGCGGGAGAGGGAGGCAGGCGTGACACAAGAGACACTGAGGCGGCGGCGGGGACAGCCAAGCGAGTCACAAAACCGCAGAATCCATCAGCTTGGAAAACACCTCTTGAGGTCATCGAATCCAACCTGTGTCTGAACGCTGCCGTGTCAACTAGACCATAGCACTGAGTGCCACGTCCTGTCTTTCCTTAAACATCTCCAGGGAAAGTAATTCCACCACCACGCTGGGCAGCCCGTTCCAATGTCTAATTACCCTTTATGTGAAGAGATTTTTCCTGATGTCCAACCTAAACCTGCCCTGATGCAGCTCGAGGCTATGTCCTCTTGTCCTATGACCTGTTTCCTGGGAGAAGAGGCCAACTCCTATCCAGCTACACCCTCCTTTCAGGCACTTGCAGAGTGATGAGGTCTCCCCTCAACCTCCTTTTCTCCAGGCTGAACCCCCAGCTCCCTCAGCTGCTCCTCACAGGAACTGTGCTCCAGACCCTTCCCCAGCTCCGCTGCCCCTCTCTGGACTAGTTCCAGGTTCTCAGCATCATTCCTGGACTGAGAGGCCCAAAAGTTGACGCAGCGCTCGCGGTGGGCTCTGACGAGTGCCCAGGACAGGGACACGGTCACTGCCCTGCTCCCGCTGGCCACACCATGGCTGACCCAGGCCAGGAAGGGCTGTCCGGGCACTGCTGTGCAGGTGGGAGTACCTGCGTACAGACAGGGCACAAAAGGCATTCACCGAGGCAGCTGTGGGACACAAATCTGAGTGAACTCTGCTTCCAGGACAACTTATAGAGCAACAGCTCTATAAGGGTGACTTTCTTCTGAGAAGTGTGAAGTCAAATATTTCCTTCCTTGGGCACACCTTGTAGCAAAGACTACAAGATGGATGTCCCTCATCTGCAGCACCAGACTTGTGGTTTGTTCTCCTGCCAGATTTGTAGCTGCTTGGCTGGGTTCATGTGCTTCAACCAGTAGCACAACTTGAGCATGGTTTCTCAGAATTATTTATTGCATTCATTTTAGTCCAGACCATCTTATGAGGTCAGTAGTTACTTCAGCTAGTGTGTGGCATACACTGTTGTTTGGAAAAAGCAATACCAAGCATGATATTCAAGAACAAATTAATTCTACAACAGGTGTGAATGTGTTGTTTGGGGGTTACTTTGTCTATTGCAGAATATTTTAAGTTCCTCTGTCTTCTTGTACCACTTGATGTACAACAAATATCTGTCCCTTTCTTCCTATCTCTGTGATTGTTCAAGGACCTTGAGAAGACACAAATTCACAACTTTATCAGTCCATCTCTTTCTGAAGCAGACTTGTGGGTGTAGGGCATCAAGCTAAATACAGATTTTAACCTCTGAAATTCAGAAAGTACAGATGATAGAAGAAGGATATTTATTCACAGAAAAGGCAGGAAGTCAGGCAGTGTAGGTACATGGCGGAGGCATTGGAGTAGCAGTATGGGATCCCTAAAGCCTAATTATCTTCACTGTCCAAAGAAAAATTCTTTGACTTATATTTAGGATTCCATAACCAGTGTTAAGACGTGTTTGCAAAAGTAACCAAATTACACCAAACCAATAACTTTATAAATAAAGCATGAAAAGTGAGTGAAATATATGTTAGAAATTATGTGAATATACACTGTAGATGTGTACTCATCATTAGATGGGAAAAAGGAGATGCAAGGTAGTCTGGCTGTTAAGTTTTTACCAAAGTGGTGTAATAAAATTGTCATGGTTTTCAAACAGAGATTTCCAAATCAGGTTAGTAATAAAAGCCGCAATCATTTAAATTGCAACCACAATTTCCTGTGTACTATTGTCAATAGGAAGAGAAAGGACAGTTTACAAATTCCATACTATTCTTACTTTTCCTTAAATATAGCAATATCTCAATTTTTAAAAAATATACCTCAGTAAAATAGAGCAACAAAATTCCACCTTCCAGAAACAAGGAAATATATCCGAAAATATATATATACTTAATGTGGTCATGGATACATACGTTATCTTGATTAGTCAGATTCACAGTATAACCATAATGCTTGCATTGTTTTAGCTTTTTTGAGAAGGAGCTACTTGCATGTCCTGTTGCCAAGCATTTAAAGGTAACATATAAAAAGAGCCTTATATCTGCTGTGTTCAGTCACTTCCTCACCTTCATTTACACATCACTTCCCAATAATTTACTCATTCACCAGAAGAGCCACAGACAGTTTATGTCCCCAAGTGCCTAGAGTCTTTGTGGCTTGGTGACTTCTACACTTTGCCACTGACACCAGTTAAACAAAAAATATTTTGAAAGGAGAAAAAAGTGTCTCTTAATGTTCTTGTCCTAAAGTTTTCCTTTAGCTATAAACATCCACTGAAATCTTTGTGGCTTACTAAATCAAATTCATATCACTGAAAAAGGTATCCTAGGCTTTTCCAGCCACTCTCCCTTAGTCTGGTATTGTTATATTTAATATTTAGAATGTAGTTGTACTACATGAAAGTGAATTCAGAAGAGTGGGGAAGAAACAGCTATAATCACATGGTAATTTACATTCACTCTTGTCATTCTTGAGGGGTTTTATGGAAGCCTGAAGTTACTCAACTTGGCATTCAAAAGGCTACAACAGACAGCCCTGATTTTGACTAACAAAATTTAGTTTGACTTGGAATTTATTTTAAGAGCTTAAAACAGTCATGACTTCATGAAAGGAAATGAAATCTCAAGATTTTAATGTAAATAATTTTGTGAAGACTCAGCCCATTTCATTGCACTTCCTTTCTTTCCATTCCATTTAATTGTTTTTACCTAATTTCAGAATTTTTGGGTTTTTTCGATTTCATTTCATGACATTATATTTTCTTTCCTGTCTTTTCATTTCCCTTCATTCCTTCATTTCTTTTCATGAAATGAAAATCCTTCATTTCATGGAAGGAAATGAAATCTCAAGATTTCAAGCAATACCATTTAATGAAGTTTTGGCTCATTTCACTTCACTTCATTTCATTGTATTCTATTTAATTGTTTTCACTTCATTTCAGAATTTTCTTCTGTTTTCTCACAAATTTTTTAACAAGCTTGGGGCTGTAGCTGAGCTGCCCACCCCCGTGCATGGCCCTAAGCTGAAAGGTGTTGAGGCGGAAATGTTGTGGCTCCGCCATGATCCTCTTGGCATGTGTTTTCCATCCCCAGTGTTCCTGGACCTGGAGGTTCTTTTCCTCTCTCAACCCTAACTCTAAGCCTGATGGTCCAGGCTGGAGCTGAGATGCCCATCACCATGGGTAGTCCAGATTAGAAGGATGAAAGAGCAGCAGTGGTGGGGCCATACTGGAACAGGCTTGGCAGGACTTCTCCAGCCCCAGTGTTCCTGAAGCTGTAGGCTCTTTTACTGTCTCAACCCTAACCCTAACAGCAGCCCTCACCCTAATGGCAGCTTGGCACTGTGGCAGGGCTCCTCATCTCCATAGGTGGCGCAGAATAAAAAATGTTGAGTCAGCAATGTTGCCACCCTGTCCTGATGCCCTTGCACTGCCTTTTTGAGTGTCTCTGTCCCAGGAGCTGTAGGCTCTGCAGCTCTCTGAACCCTAACCTGAACCTAGCTTGTCGCTGCTGCTGAAATCCATAGACCGTGGCTGGCCCAGATTCAAACAGTGAGAAGAGAGCAATCTTGGCACCCTGATGTGAAGAAAATCCTTCATTTAATGAAAAGAAATCTCAAGATTTCAATGACAAATTATTTTGTAAAGTTTCAGCTCATTCCTGTCATTCCAATTCCATTTAATTGTTTTCACTTCATTTAGGAATTTTGGGGTTTTGCAATTTCATTTAATGTCATTATATTTCCTTTCCTGTCTTTTCATTTAATTTGATTTAATTTCATTTCTGTCATTACATGTACTGTTAGACTCTATTTTCTCACTCAGGTATTGGTTTGGAGTATGATCTCACAGATGGTTTTGTATTTAAATTTACTACCATAAATAAAATGTTCTGCATATGCATAAGTATCTATAGCACAATCACTATTGCACTATTGAGAAAAACAACTATTAAAAAAAAAAAAAAAAAAAAAAAAAAAAAAAAAAAAAAAAAAAAAAAAAAAAAAAAAAAAAAAAAAAAAAAAGGGTGGGGGGAGCAGAATTGTGAAAATCAGCAGTATTTTTCATTTTGTCTGCTACAGAGACAGGTCATGTTTGGTGTATGCTGAAGTCCTCATGCTGTCAAGAGATTTGGCGGCATTTCCAAAACACACATCATCCAGCCATGTGCCATATTAGACAGTCAGAAGGAACTGTCCTAGCCTTTCATTTTCTGTATCATAGCATCACTTTCCTACCAAATATCAGCATCCTGCTGAATACCAGGAGTGCATCAGACTTCTAAAAGGAAGCCATTAGAGCTTTTTATGCTGCAAACTTGAAAATGCTACACATCTTGATCTGCAAATAAAAATCTGACACCTGCTCAGATGCCAGCATATGTGATGCCACACACCAGTGCCACACCAGATGCCACACACCAGTGACAACAGTGGTGATACTGCTGAAACTGACTTCTCAAAAGGCAACTGTAGCTTAGTGCTCAAAACATATCTGGACTCTCAAGTTTATTTCCTTTTACTTCCTAAAATCTGCATTGAGTCACAGGCTCAGTACTTGTAATTCAAGCTGCAGTGGTAGACGATGACAGAATGTATTAGAGAGCACTAGAACAGAGTGGCAAATTAGAGCTCCATTCAAGAGGAAAAGGGAAACAA